CACGGTTATCAGCAGTCATGCCAATGCAGCTGGCGAGATAGAGGTCTCTGGCATGCTCCAGCTGCGAGTGCAGGGAGTGCGGCAGGTAGGCGCGCAGCACAGCACCAGCACCCGAAGCAACACCACACACACCAACACCAGCACCAGCACCAATACCAGCACCAGCAGCAGTACCGGAATGAGTGGAATTACAGCATCACTCACCATTTTAAGAGGCGGGGGAGGCACACGCGGTTGTCAGCAGTCATGCCGATGCAGCTGGCGAGGTAGAGGTCTCTGGCGTGCTCCAGCTGCGAGAGCAGGGAGTGCGGCAGGTAGGCGCGCAGCACAGGCGCGCTGAGGGATCCCGGCGACAGAGCAAACGACACCAGCGGCTCCGTCTCCCCCACCACCCACTGCTGCCTCGGATCATCTGCTGGGAAGGGCGTGGCGTTCAGTGCCTTGGCCTGGGAGACGGGAGGGGGGAGGCAGGAGTGGGACACATGGGGAAGACAAGGGTCGCAGGTGGGTGGGAAGAGGACATGAGGGTGAATGGGAGGAAGAGAAGAGAGGCAATACAAGCGGGGAAGTGCAGGGAGTGCGGCAGGTAGGCTCGCAGCACAGGCGCGCTCAGAGATCAGCGGCAGAGATCAGCGGCAGAGATCAGCGGCAGAGATCAGCGGCAGAGATCAGCGGCAGAGATCAGCGGCAGAGATCAGCGGCAGAGATCAGCGGCAGAGATCAGCGGCAGAGATCAGCGGCAGAGATCAGCGGCAGAGATCAGCGGCAGAGATCAGCGGCAGAGATCAGCGGCAGAGATCAGCGGCAGAGATCAGCGGCAGAGATCAGCGGCAGAGATCAGCGGCAGAGATCAGCGGCAGAGATCAGCGGCAGAGATCAGCGGCAGAGATCAGCGGCAGAGATGGGCAACAGAGCAAACGCCACCAGCGGCTCCGTCTCCCCCACCACCCACTGCTGCCTCGGATCATCTGCTGGGAAGGGCGTGGCGTTCAGTGCCTTGGCCTGGGAGATGGGACGGGGGAGTCGGGAGGGAGACCTGGGGGGAGCCAGGAGTGGCAAGGGGAGGGGGACACGTGCGAAAACCCTAAACCCTGTCAATGAAAAGATTTGGATTTGCGCACCTTGGCCTGGGAGACGGGAGGGGGGAGGCGGGAGGGAGACGTGGGGGGGGGCAGGAGTGGCAAGGGGAGGGGGACACGCGCGAAAACACTTAACCCTGTCAATGAAGAGGCTTGGATTTTCGCACCTACGCCTGGGACATGGCGGGGGGAAAGGCAGGAGAAATACAGGGGAGAAATGCGCAGAGCTTCTGAGACATCTTGAATGTCTCCAGGCTCAGCACCCCCTGCTGAATCTGGTCGCTTTCAAGAAAGGGTGTGCGTTCAGTGCTTTGGCCTGGGACGAGAGGGGAGAGGCGGAGGGGACCGAGCAGCTGAGGCGAGGGCGGAAGCAAGGGCTTGCACTCGCAGATATGGGAGCATGTGGAACTGGGGAGAAGGAGGAAGAGAGCCAAAGAAGAGCGCGGGATATTGCACTGTAAGTCGGTAGGACAGTGGCACCCAGAAGTACTCACCAAGGCGAGGGCCTGGCAGCAGGAGCTCTTAGAATAGCGAATTCAATGTCGGTGGTTGTCTGCCACTCCATGGCCCTTGAGTCCACTTGTGGTTGCTGTGTGGGTGGGGCAGTGGTATGAGCTGAGCAGTACTTACCAGAGGAGAGGGCCTAGCAGCCGGCGCTCTGAGAATGGCAAACTCAATGTCGGTGGCTGTGACTGTATGGCCCCCAATGCTGTATGACGCCTGGCGTGTGGAGGATAGGGACGGGTGTGTTGAAGGGGACAAGGTGAGGTGAGGTGAAGTGCGGTGGGGTGAAGTGCAGTGGATTGAAGTGAAATGAAGTGGGAAGGACTGCAGAGGTGGAAAGTACAGGAGCAAGGTACTGAGTGGTTGGGCACTGCAGCTTATGAAGAAAGAGATCCACCATGTACATTGCCAGATCTACTCATCAGGAGTAAGGACTCACAGTTTGCAGGTGTTTTTCTGAGAGCTTTCAAAAAAACACCTGCAGTGCCAAAACTGCTCATCGGGAAAAGGACTCACGGTCTGCAGCAGGGCAATGCGGCGCAGGTGAGTGTCGGGACAGCCGTTGGTGATGTACGTCTGATCAAGGATGGGATGGGAGAGGGGGTAAAAGGGGACGGAACCAGACAGGGTGTAAGGATGAAGGGTGCAGAACATGGCATGTTTCAAGAAGGTAGGCTTGAGAACTCTTTAGACTGACTCATTTTATACCGAGAGCAGGAGTGCAACATACCGAGAGCAGGAGTGCAACATACCGAGAGCAGGAGTGCAACATACCGAGAGCAAGAGTGCAACATACCGAGAGCAGGAGTGCAACATACCGAGAGCAAGAGTGCAACATACGGAGAGCAAGAGTGCAACATACCGAGAGCAAGAGTGCAACATACCGAGAGCAGGAGTGCAACATACCGAGAGCAGGAGTGCAACATACCGAGAGCAAGAGTGCAACATAACATACGGAGAGCAAGAGTGCAACATACGGAGAGCAGGAGTGCAACATACCGAGAGCAAGAGTGCAACATACGGAGAGCCAGAGTGCAACATACGGAGAGCAGGAGTGCAACATACCGAGAGCAGGAGTGCATTGTACACGTTGATCCAGAAGACGAGCCTCTCTGTGTGTGAGAGAGTGGCGGGGTTGACCAGCCGCAGCTGATCCACATAGTGCCTGATGCAGGTGTGGGGGGGAATGGGAGAAGAAGGGGGTGTGTGTTTTGGTTCAATTCGAGCCTCTCCGTGTGTGAGAGAGAGGCGGGGTCTACGAGACGCAACTGGTCAACGTAGTGCCCGATGCAGGAACAGGGCAGAAAACAGGAGAGAACAGGAGATAACAGGGAAAAAGGAAGCTTGAAGGTGAGACTAGTGGGACAGGTTAAAAGGTCAGCTTGATACCGGGAGAGCTTTGTCATAGATTTGGCTATATTGGCCATATCGTACCGGTGTCTCTTGAGTGCTGCCACGTCAGCATGCACATATGCGCCTTCCCCAGGTACAGCCTCCACCACCACGAGCTCCCACCCTGCTACTGATGCCCCCTCCCCTCCCCTCCCACTTCCTCCCATCTCCGCCCTCCCACTCCTCCCACTCCCCATCCCTGGCCCCATTCCCCCTTCCGCCAGCACCATTCCCCCCTCTCCTTCTCCCCCTCCGCCTCCCTCTGCTCCTCCCCCTGCCCCTCCCCCAGCTCCCCCCCAGGATCCTCTCCAAGCCTCTGCTCCATCCGAGCCTGAGGTTAGGACCCGCCGCCGGGGCCGGGGGGCAGCTTCGGCAGCGGCTGCAGCGGCAGCGAGGGCGGCAGCGGTGGTGGCAGCTGCAGCAGCAGTGGTGGCGGGGTAAAGACGGGTGTTGATGGGTGGGTGAGAGGGCTGGCTATCCCCTTCTCCTCCTGCCGCTCCTCCTACCGCTCCTCCTCCCACTGCTGCTCCTCTCCCCCTTCCACCACCACTGTTGCCATTGCCACCACCACCACCACCACCACCACTGCCGCCGCCAACACGCTTGGGGCCCAAGGGGGAGAAGGAGGGTGACGCAGCCGAGGGGGAGAAAGAAGGAGCACCACCTTCAGAGGGCGAAAGGCAGGAGGCGGCAAGGGGAGTAGGGCTCCTGGGAAGTCGGCCAGAGTTTGCGCCTTCAGAAGGGGAGAAGCAAGAAGCGGCATGAGGGGTGGGGCTCTTGGGTGGGCGGCCAGAGTAAGCGCCCTCAGAGGGGCTTTTGGGGAGGAGCAGCCGCGTGAGGATGGGGTTAGCTACGGTTGAGCCGCCCGGGTAGGCTGTGCCGTTTGGGTTGGGTGAGGTAGAGCTGGTCCGGGCAAATGGCTTGGTAGAGGCGGTTGGGTTTAACAGATTGTTAGGGGTGGACTCAGGTGGGAACTGCTTCTGCTGCTGCTGCTGCTGTGTGGACTCGTAGAGAGGGTGGAGAGGCAGAGAGGCGCCTACATCCAGTGGCGCCAATGGATGCTGTCTGACCGAGGGATTCTTTTTGGACGCTCTGGGATAGAGCGGCCCCGATTGGGACTTCCGAGGACGAGAGGGCTCAGGAGGAGAGGACTGAGAGGGCTGGGAGGGATATGAGGATTGAGAGGGCTGAGAGGGGTGAGAGGGCTGAGAGGGATATGAGGATTGAGAGAACTGGGGGCGGGAGGGGCCAGAATGAAAGGTGTGGGAGCGGGGAAAGTCAATGCCGGAGAGAGGCAGATGTGTTTGGAGAGCGTTGCTGGCAGGCAGGAGAGAATCAGTGCCCTCCCCGCCCCTCCATCCCCTGCTGTACGCACCACCCATGCGCCCTGCACCAGCAGGCATACCGGGAAACTTACCAGGGGCGGGTGTTGACGGGTGCACCGAGGAGGAGAGGCGCGCTGAAGGGGGGTGCAAGGGTGGCAGGTGCAGGGGAGGCGGGTACCTGCCTGGGACTCCGTCAGGTGCTGCTGCTGCTGCGAGCTTCCAGGTGCTGCTGATGGCACTCAGCTCAGCAGTGCTGCTGCTCTGTGCACGCTGCATCATCCTGCCTCCTCCTCTTCCACCTCCCCTCCCAGCACTGGTGCCAGGAAGACTGCTGCCCCCACCACCACCACCAGCAACAGCAGCAGAACCGCCGCTACTATCAGCAGCAGCAGCAGCAGCAGCAGTGCCGTGTCCGCTGCCCATTCTTGCTCCTCGCCCTGCCATGGCACCCACCAACGGAGCCCTCCCTCCCTGCACCATCATCTGCCCTCTCCCTTGTTCCTTCCCCAGTCCCTGCTGCTGCTTCTGGTGCTCCTGAAACGCAATAGAGGACGTCTCTAGCGCGGACTGAGAGTGCGGAATCAGCATCCTTCCATTCACGACCTTCACACCACCAACACCACTCCCACGGCTAATCCCACCGTCCCTCTTGCCACCACTCCCACCGCCACTCCCATTGTCGCTGTTGCCTCCCAGACTGTCAGAGTCTGAACCCTGGCTCCTCTCCTGGCTCCTCTCCTGGCTCCTCTCCTGGCTCCTCTCCTGGCTCCTCTCCTGGCTCCTCTCCTGGCTCCTCTCCTGGCTCCTCTCCTGGCTCCTCTCCTGGCTCCTCTCCTGGCTCCTCTCCTGGCTCCTCTCCTGGCTCCTCTCCTGGCTCCTCTCCTGGCTCCTCTCCTGGCTCCTCTCCTGGTTCCTCTCCTGGTTCCTCTCCTGGTTCCTCTCCTGGTTCCTCTCCTGGTTCCTCTCCTGGTTCCTCTCTGGGTTTCTCTCCTCAAGGGTGTCACCACACTGGGAGCTGCTGTCTGCTCGTCTGAGCACCCTCCGCTGGCTCAGCTGCTTCGGAGGCAGCTGCAGCGGCTTCCCTGGGCTGCGCTGCTCCAGCTGCTTCTCATTCTCCCGCTGCTTCTGCTCCCGCTGTTGTTGCTGCTGCTGCTGCTGCTGCTGCTCCTGCACCTGCTGTTCTTGCTGCTGCTGTTGCAGTTTCAACTCTCCTGCCATCTCAACCAGACCCGCACCGTTCACTGATCTCGCCACTTCTTTCGCCTCGCCCACATCGCCAGCAGGGGCGAACGGGGAGGCGAGGGGGGAGATGGAGTCAGAGTCAGACAGCAGTGAGGCAGTGTCCAGAGGGGTCACAGCAGGTGGGCGCTGCAGGGAGGAGGGCGTTGCAGGGGTTGGCTTCACAATGGAAGAGGAGGGGTTGCAGAGGTTCTGGTGCCGTGGGCTGATTTCAGGGGAATTACCCGCTGAAAGACACTCATGCACCGATTCTACCCCCGACTTCACACCACAAGTGTCTAAAACTCCCTCACCTCCACCGCCTTCCGCCTCGCCTGCTGCTGCTGCTGCCGCCCTTTCTTGCCCCTTCTCCCTGCCCCGCGTTCCTCCCTGGAACAGCCTCAGCAACCCACCCCGTACACCCTCCCTAGCAGCATCTCCGTTATGAGAGCCTACAGACATTGACAGGGGAAATCTGGCTTTGGCTTTAAGATGAGGAGAGGACGGATTCGATTCCTTCGGCTCATCTCGTTGCCCTCTTACCCTGCTTCCTTCTCTTGCTCCTGCCTTTCCCCTCCCTCCTGTCCCTCCTGCATCATCTCGCTCCCCTGCTCCTTCCCCTGCTTCCCCTTCGCCATCCCCTCTCGGCTTCCTACCCAGGGACGACTTGTGAGGGGGGCGGGAGTGAGGGAGGGGCAGGGGGAGAGCAAGAGAGGACCAGGCGGAAGAAGAAGAAGAGGAAGAGGTGGTAGATGAGGGGGGCAGGCGAGGCGAGAGGGAGGAGGACACAGAGGTCGATGTAGACTCGCTGGCAGAGAAAGCAGCAGCAACCACGTCCCAAGGATTCTCGTTTTTGACTGAGATCGCCAGCAGCTCAAGAGATCTCGGGTCGAGAATACGTGCCACGTCCTCTCCCCCACCCCCGCCCCCACCCGCACTCCCTCCCCCTCCGCCTCCTCTTCCCCCGCGCCTGCTGCCGCTGACGCTGCTGCTCCTGCTACTGCTCTTCACAAGCCTACTCCCCTGCATGCTCCCTCTCCTCCCTGCTACATCCCCTCCAAACCCTAAAACTGATCCATTCAACCCGGAGCCTGGCCCGGGCGGCATTTGTTGGCTGCGTCTGGCACTGAGCGCACTGTTCACGGAGCCCTGGCGAGGGAAGGCGGCAGCCATATCTGCCATCACCCCAAGCCCCCCACTCAATCCTCCCAAACTCCCTCCCAGACCTCCTAGCCCCCCTAGACTTCGCCTCCAGCTGCTTCTCCTCTCCCCTCCCTGCTCCGACGCCTGCCGAAACAGCTTCGGACTGGCCGCCTGCTGGGCTTTCTCCTGAGGATTCCCCTGCTCCCCTTCAGCACTTATCTCCCATTGCTGAGGTTTGACTGCTGTAGAGTCTTGGAGGGCCATGCAGCCTGGGGGTTGATCAGGGCTGAAAGCCTCTTCTCCTTCGGACGTGCTGCTGCTGTTAGGAGCCCTCGCCACATCCTCCGACCCAGCCGCATCACCAGCAGGTCCACCACCGGTATTGTTAGCGCCAGTAGCAGTGAAGGCAGGAGGAGGGCCAGCGCCGCCAGAGTCCTGAGTAGCGGGATCTAAGGCAGGGGCGCGGGATTTGAGCCCCTGGTGCAGGCCTGAGACGTTCACGCCCCTCTCATCCCAGAAGGCGGGAGGCAGCGGCACGTGCGTGCCGTGCCTCATGTATACAGACGCCACGGTGCGAAGCAGAGCCACTGAGAGGTCACAGGGACGCGAGGAGAGGTCCCTCACTGGAATGCCACCCGCTGCTCCTGCTGCCCCTACTGCTGCTCCTGCTCCTGTTGCCCCTACTGCTGCCCCTGCTCCTGTTGCTGCTGCAGTGTTGCTGGTTGACAAGTCGCCTGCAGCAGAGGAGTGCTCTGTGTGGTTCCGGCCTCTGGGCGTCCTTTCCTCCTCGTCTGCAGGGGAGTCGAGGGAGGAGGGCGCTGGGACAGTCTCAGAACGAGGAAACGCGGGCGAGCGAGCGGGAGCAGGGGAACAGCCAGAAGCAGGAGAGCGGGCAGAAGCAGGAGAGAAGGCAGAAGCAGGAGAGAAGACAGAAGCAGGCCCGAACCCACCGCTTTCTCCTCCCTCAGTCCCCTGCTTTTCTTCCACTCCACTGATGCTCTCCCCTTCCGCTTTTCCTCCACTAGCATCCCTTCCTCCCACACTCGCAGCCGCAAAGTCCAGTGAGCCCTGCCTCTCTGGAGACTCCACGACAGGGCCATGCCCCCCGTGCTGAGACTCTGCTGCCCCTGCTGGCCCTGCTGGCCCTGCTGGCCCTCCTAACCCGCCCGCCCCTGCTGTCCCATGTGCAGGTGGGGAGTCCAGGAAGTCACGGAAGCTTCCAGTGGCCGCTCGTTGCCGAGAGGGGGAAGGGGAACAGGGCGCACCACTCGCAGTCTCCGCTTCGTCACCTGCCTCTGCTTCTCCCTCTGTGTCTGCATCTGATTGTGCCCCTGCTTCCCCTCCTGCATCACTGTCTGCTGCCGTTTCTTCTGCTCCTGCTATGGATTCATCTTCTGCGCCTTCTCCACCCGTGTCTGCCCCTCCTGCACCAGCTACCACAACCGCGCCTGCCCCCATTGTCTGCGCTGCTTCTGTTGCCTTTCTCCCCGGTGATACAATGGCTTCTATGACTGCCACACCATCTGCTGCCTCGTCCGCAGCAACGTCTGCTGCTCGCCCCACTGCACTTTCTGCCACTTCGGTTTCGAAACCTTCTGCTGCCTCCTCTGCCTTTGCCTTTGCATGCGTCGTTTCTGCCCCAGCTGTTTCACCACCACCGCCCCCCACACCCTCAGCAGCAACAGCCTGATCTGTTTCATCAGCAGCCCAACCATTCAGTAACACCCCGTTACAATCACCTTCGATTCCAGGCCCCTGTTCTGTGTCACTGCAAGCAACTTCTTCTCTGCCTTCATTCATATCCCTATCCTTGCTCCCCTCTCTCTCTCCACCTCCCTCCTTGCTTTCCCCTCTCTCTCTGCCTCCATTCACATCCCTATCCCCAACCCCCTCTCCCTCTCCACCTCCCTCCTTGCTTTCCCCTCTCTCTCTGCCTCCATTCACATCCCTATCCCCAACCCCCTCTCCCTCTCCACCTCCCTCCTTGCTTTTCCCTCTCTCGCTGCCTCCATCCACTCCCTTCCCTCCACCTCTCTGTTTTCGCTCATCCACGTCTGAGTATCCATTCTGAACCGACTCCACGCTTGCAGCTCTCACCACAACATCATATCCAGGCGACCCCCTCCCGACCGGCCCCAGCGGCTGCTGCGTTCCCCAGCGCTCAGACTCCCCTCTGCCAGCCCCATCCACCTGCTGAGTCCACCCTCCTTCTTCCAGCGCGTTAAGCTTGCATGCCTGTTCGCTCGGCCCAGCCACTTGGCCCCTCGCCTCAGCTACCTGCCCACTCCGCCCGTCTTCTTGCCTTGTCTGATTCTCTCCGTGGCCACCCAGCTTGCCTGCCTGCTGGGTCAGCTCATCTGCACCACCATTCGCCTCACCCAAACTACCATTCAGCCCATCCACCCTGCCGGCCAATACAGCATTTGCCACCTCTTCAGCTACAAAAGCTGCTGATTCCCTTCCTGCTGTGACCACTGCTGATTCCTCTCCAGCTGCAGCAGCAGCAGCTGTATACTCCACAACCATAGCTCCCGCTACTCCTGCTGCTTCGCTGTTTTTCACTTTGCCGCTTTTTCCCTCTTTAGTTTTCCTGCTCGATTTCACCTCCTTCTGTCCGGCATTCACTCGTTTACGCGCCTTCTCCGCCCCGCTGCCTCTCTTCCCTTCATGCTTCTTCTCTTCATGTCCATTCTCTTCATGCGTCTTCTCTCCCTGCTTCTTCGCTTTTTGCTTCCTCTCAACCGATTTCTCCTGAATCTGAATCTCCCCCCATTCCGCTCCTTTCTCCTCATTGAAACCATCAATGAAGAACCCGTTGCTGTTGCATTTATCCTCGCTATAGAGTACCCCATTTCCCGCGGGCTGGTCAATCGTGATGACAGGAACCTCTCTGGAAGTCTGTGTATCAGGAAGATTGTTGGTGAACACTTGCATGCTGAGTCGGCGTGCTCTGCAGTGTGGTGGGAAGTGAAGGGACAGAACAGGGGGGCATGCGCTGAGAGAGAACATTACCCATGCAAGAAGAACAAGACTTTAACATTAAAATGGAGCAATGATGTCTGTAACGAAGCGTTTTGTAACGAGGCTGTTTGTGATGGAGCTATCTGCACACTCACAGCTGATTCGTCAGCACATTCAGTCGTTGCTGCAGCTGCAGCAACAGCTGCAATTGCTCTGTCTCCCCTTCCCCAACCTTCTCCACTTCCCGAACATCTGCCCGACTCTCTGCTTCCGGCCCTTCTTCCCCTGTAATTACTCTTTCTCCCGCGATCCCACCCCTCTCAACCGCATCCAGCTGCACAGAACCAGCTCCTGAACTTTCAGGATCCACCCTTCCTTGCTGCGCGAGTCGCTGCAAGGCCTGTAATTCTCCAGCCACCCACGCCACATGAGCGCGGACACTAGCACCACCACCACCATCAACAGAACCAACACCAGCACCATGCCCAACACCACCACCAACAGCACCACCACCGCCTTGCACTGCGCTGCAGGGCCAGTCATCGTTCGCTCTGAAACCGCCCCCTTTGTTGTCCCCATCCACGCTCTCCACCTTTCGCTTCACGGACCGCCGCCAAGAGCCCTCCGCATGCAGCTCCTGAAGTACCAGCACCTGCTGCTCCTGCTGCAGTAATTGCTGCTGCTGCAGTAATGGCTGCTGCTGCTGCTGCTTCTGGGGCAGCTGATCTCGGTTCTGGCGGATAGACGACGAGGCAAGACCAGTAACTGAGGTAGAGGAGGAGGGCAAAGGGGGTTCGGCTAGTTGCGACGGAGTGACAGGAGCGAGCAGCCTTCGCTCGTCCGAAGGAACCTTAGGAACCGCAGCGTCAGAGGCAGCCAGAGCCTGGCGTTCGGGAGGAGGAACCTGAAGATCCTCGGCCTCAGCGCCAGAGGCAGTCAGTGCCTGTCGCTCGTCAGGCCCTGCTGGTGGGCCCGCACGACCAGATTCAGACAATGTGGTGGTGGACTGTAGAGTCGCAGATTCTCTGCATCTGGACACATGCGAAGAGCGTACTGTCCTGCTCTTTTCTTTGCTAGGTAGAGACGACATGCCACTAGCCGACGCGCCCTTGTTCCTATTTGAAGACTTCAGGCCGCCCCGTGCGCCCGAGTTCCGCTTCTCGTCATTAGTCACTGCCGCGTGGTAGGTGTTTTCGCCTAGTGTAAACGACGGGTCATCATTGGAGCGCGCTCTAGGAACATGGTCACCAGAAGAGTGTGACAACCTCCGAGAGCGAGCTGCAGACTTTTGAGTCGACTCAGAAGTCACCTCGCTTGGTGTAGACGACGGGTCATCACTGGAGCGTGTTCTTGGTACATGGTCACCAGAAGAGTGTAACAATCTCCGGGAGCGAGCTCCAGATCCTGGTAACCGATTACTAGACAACTTCGAGCTTTCGTTGGAAGGAGCTGCTGGTTGCTCGGGAGAGCTCAGACGCGCTCGGAGTGAATGTTGCAGTGACTTAGTTGGTGTTTTGCGTGAATCAGCTGTGGGACCGGGTGAGTCGGCGTGTATCGAGCTGTTGTCCTCGGGAACTCCGCGATCAGAGTGACCCGAATGCTGGATGTCACGCCATGGTTTGTGATGGCTGGAGGAAGTGACTGATGGCGATTTGGTCTTCTTTTTGGCAGACTTCCTGAAAAAAAAACGAAATGGAGGTCCGTGAAACGCAGGAGGAAGAAATCGCTTTCTTAAAAGAACGCATGGACGTGACAAGCACGCTGGAAACCTCGTCGATGTCTAGCGGTAAGCACGTTCCAAGAGCCGAATTAACTAGAAAGACAGACACGGGACGTGGCGCCATCAATGCGACCGCATGAGCGCCACGCTGCGACAACAATGCGACGATAAGAACGCTGACGACATAAAACGCGACAACACGACGAACTGACAATGTGATACAGACGAGTCAGAAACTAACAGACCTCTGCTTGGTTTCGCCGGCCTGGAGCTCCATGGCAACTGGAGCGACACCGTCCATTGTATACCTCGCTGTCGAAGCTATTGTGAACCTCTGACGATCTGGTTTAAATTATTGAAAACATAGCAGGGCTTACTGCTTGTTTTTGCTGCGATGTTTCATAATCTGTACCTGACTCATCGTTTTCACACAAAAAAAGCGTGCACGTTTTGATGCGCAACGCTATGACTCGAAGTAGGTCCGTTCAGCGACATAAGGCTCCTTTCTGTAACTCTCTTAGTGGTTAACGACCGACTAGCGAGAAAACATATGTACAAGGAGAACACGGCTCGAACCAATGCATAAGATGTTCCCTACGAAGACCTACCACGCGAAACCTATCAGATTTATCCAGAAATAAATTGAACTGGCAAAAAGGCCAGACAGGCAGGAAGAAGGCAGGATAGCTAGCGAAATGACAGTCAGAGATTGACCGACATATCTCCTCCCCTTCCTTCCTCAACTGAGCTGAGCCGAGGCATCTCCGAGGAGAGGACTGCCCATGGAAAAATTCCTTGACACTCGAGAATTTCGGCTGCTCGAAGTTCTCTAGGTTTTGTGTTGTCAGGGACGTGATTGGTGGGCTGGGGAACCTCGGAAACTCTTGATTTGCTCAACTCTTGGTGCCAGGGGAGGGGAGACTTTCGCGCGGGTCGGAGGGACTCGGCAGAAAGCTTATCTGTGGGCGGGTTTCGTTGCAGGGAAAAGATCGAGGGGCCGAACAGTGCCAGAGGGGTGATCGACCAGGGGCCAAGAGGCCCGGAACTTCCCAAACCGCTGCGCATAGAGGGATTAACATAGGGTCTTCCTTTATTGCACGTAGTTATGTTATTAGTGGCATGTACCGGCTCGCATTTTCGCTCGCGTGTCGTTCAGCGAGCCGACTCTACTGGAAACTCTTAGGGCAGCCAAAACAAACTACAACTCTTATGAAACCTGGATGCATTTTCGGGATGGGTCAACCCTAAAACGGATAACTTCCTGGTGTTTAGGGTTGATGCCTCCCGACTCGCTTATGTTTCCGAATGGGTAATATATTGTTTTCCAGTGCGTCTACGATCGGGTAGGTGATATTTATCAACCAGAATATAATATGTTATACGTGAACACGATTTGATCCGCCGATCTTTACTTCCAGAAGAAGGCGACGCGCGCGCTGTAGTAGACGGAGGTCAAAACCCTTAATTAAAAACTTGAATACACAATTTGGTTCTTCTAGCAAATACCGCTTACTTCCGGCTCAGCTTGTTCGCCAAGTCGGTTGGGCAGCTCTGGGCTGAAATCCTACGGTCGAAATTTACCGGCCCTACTTTGAACACTCGTCTGGCAATGTTCGGCCCTGGTTGATATTCTCCTTTCGTTGCATACCCATCAAAAGCTTTGAGGGAAATACTCGCTATAACGCGGAATTATTTAGATTGTGCAGAGAAGCTCGGACTGTAATATATCAAGTGCAGCTGACAAAATTCTTGCAGGTTTTTCCCCTTCCCCGTATCTCGTTTTCCTCCTCTTTCCTCTCTTTCCTCTCGTTCCTCTCACCCTCTGGAACAAGCAGAGCACGAGTACGGTTGTCGCGCGTCCTTGACCCGTGGTCGTCGTTCGTCACGCTCCCACCTCGCTTACTTTTGTTTCCGTCCTTACGTTTTAAAACTTTTAAACCATGGGCGCTCGCAGGGAGACGTTTCGTTGGGGAGATGCGGAGGAGGAAGAGGAGGGATTAGATTCCGTTCTCCCGCCTACGCAGACGATCGGACCCGACGAGAAGGGAATCAAGATCGTTATCGAGTGGCGTCTTAACGAGGAGGGCCAGCGCGTTAAGGTGACGAAGAAAATCCGCGTTAAGAAGCAACTCAAGAAGCTGAAGCCCGAGGTCATTCGCCGCCGGAGTCTCAAGAAATTCGGCGACGCGGTCGGGCAGGTAAGCGCCTTTCATTTGATCTCATCTCGCAACAAGACTGCTCTATTAGGCCATGTACTGCTGTTTTCTTAATTGGCGAGTCACGGCTTGCCCGCCGGATGATCGTCTTAGGGTTTAAGCAGCCTGACCCCTTTATCGAATCTTTCCGTGCTTTAACGACTGGCTTCTTTTCTGTGCAACGCAACCGCTCCTTCCTCCCGCTTTCCCACCTTAATTTCCTTTCTTTCTCTTCCCTAATGTCCCCTCCCTTCTCTCCCCGCTCTCCCCACCCCCCACTTCCCCACCCTCCCCGGGCGGCTCCGACAACTTCCCCATGGATCAGCGGAAGGATTTTTTTATCGAGCGGCACAAGGTGGCGCGTGAGTCGACTCAAGACTCGCTCCCTCACACCTTCCCGCTCCTCCCCACCCCTCTGCACCCTCCCGCATCGCTTCGAACCCTTTCCCACCACTCCCCATCCCTCCGCAGGTCGGCTCCGACAACTTCACCATGGTTTCCACAGAGGAGATTTTTCTCGAGCGGCCCAACCAGGCGCAGTCGAAGCAGGACGAGCAGGCGAAACCCTCCGGCGACCTGGCGGCGATCGGCAGCGCGTCGCTCATGGTGTGTCGCATCTGCGGCAAGAAGGGCGACCACTGGACCTCCAA